TTCAATGCTGGCAGGCCATGTGGCCAAATGACGAAAGTGTCATCTACGTATCTCTTCCACAAGAAAGGACGTAGGGTGGATGTTTGGATGGCATCTGTTTCAAATTTCTCCATGAAAACATTCGCTATCACTGGTGATAAGGGGGAACCCATGGGAGTACCTTCATTTTGTTTGTCAAAAGTGGCGGTTAGCGAGCACCTATGAAGGCTGGCACAGCACACGAGGGGTAGGTAGCCAACACCACGCCAGGCCGCATTTGTCTCCCTACTCGCGATGTTTATACACCGCACCAGGTAATCATTTGAGGCTAAGTCGACCTAGGGGAGGCCCAGGACCAGTTCAGATAATCGTCACTGGTGTTGGCCGTGAGCCGGAATCGGGCCCAGTTGCCAGGTTTGTAGCGTAGCGCGCTAACCGTTATACTACCGCTCCCCACACAAAGATACACACACTCACTGATCAGCACACACACAAAAACAACCGCCATTCACTACTAAGTGGTGGTAACTTCACCACGGCGCTTGTGCCAGGCTATGTGCACTTTAAGGCCACGTGAAGTGTCGATGACTGGCAGGTCACGGCATAGACCCAGGTGCCATGGGTTGACTGAGATGACTGGCAGTTGCACCACCTGTGCCCCCCCCCGACTGTGCCAACTTGCTGTGTTTTAGCCACGCGGCGCTCACCTCGTTGTTGTGAGTGACCTTCCTCTGCCCAGTAGCGTCCTTCACGAGCCTCCTCCACAAAAGCCGATCTTAACACCATTGGTACCAGTCATCAGCAAGTCCACTCCATTCCATATCCTCTTGTGTACCATATCAGTCCATCTCTTCTCTAACCCGCATGCCCAGCCACTATATACCCAAACAGATTTTTTTGTCCGGGAATAGATGGGGCTAAATGGGCGCTGCACGGTCAAACAAAAGCTGTTCGGGCATGCGGTGGCTGGGCGTGTCGGATACATGTCCCAGCCAATGCAGCCTCACTGATGAGACGGTTTCCCGATTTTTCAAGGATTTGTGAGGTCCTCACACAATCCAGTCTCGTTTAACCCAGGATCGATTGTAGGCAGGCCAGCCTGAATGTTTCTAACCAGCGTAGATGTTCCCATTCAGGGGGTACATTTTTCGGAAGCATAGGGGAGGGCATGACTGTGACCCGAAACTTCGTGTGGAACGACCAGGTAGCTTCCAAACGGTGTTACGCAGCCGATGAAAAGATAATGCCGCCCGCCTTATTCAGAGTGAGATCTGCTGTCAAGCCGGGGCTGGTCATAAGCACACTGCCCAGGTATGGAAAACTCTGTCCACCACTGCCCTATCACCAATGGGGAGTTGAGGGGGTGGGGTGTTTGATGGCACAAAATACCTAGGCCGGTGCTTAGTTTTGGTAGGGATGATGGTAAGACCCCACCTCTTAGTGGTATGCTCCAGGTTCAGCAGCAGCGCCTCCCACTCCTCTTGAGTGAACAAACACGTAAACACATTCACTCATAGATCCGCACCCACAGATCTACACACAAACGCTCACACAGATCTGCACACAAATCCATATATCTGCACGCAAACACTCACAAACTTACAAATCCACACACAGTAGCCGACGCCTCGTGTCTCAGTGTCGGCACCGAATCGCATCTCATTTCACTTGTAGGGTACGTAACACTTCTACGCTGGCTCTTAGCCACAGACATATCAGCGTCACTTAAAACTCAATCGCGAGGCATGATGCTTAAGGGCCACGTGACCACAGCGTTACATTAAATCACTAAAACTACGGTACTGAACGCGAGTGTACAGCAGTAAACTGTCACACGTAACACAGGGTACAGTAAGACAGTACACTATACAATCACCGAAATACTGTACATAAACGATATGCTGTACTCTACAGTACACTTCTCAATGCGCGACACAAAGTTAGTTGGTGTCCAGGGTGGATGGCGGCGACGGATACGAGAGGGGGGGCGGACGATGCCGTCAGCGACGCGAGTTTGAGGCGATGCACACCAGGTCGTGGTGCAGGAGACTCTTTAATAACGCGGGGGTTACGTTCTTGTAAAGTGCCGCCAAGGCCAAAACCACGATATTCGATACTTAAGCATTACCTAAATAATGGGGTTAGAAGGTAAATGGCTACCACAGACATAGACACATCACAATTGGAATAAGTACTGTACCGTGTGCCAAATAAACAACAAATTAAATAATTGAAATAAACATGAAAAAAACCTTGTTCCAAAAACATTCCTAGACAATAAATAGTAATAAATAATTAAATACTCAATAAATCCTGTACTTATGATCCAAAGCAGGTGTGTGTGGGGAGCGGTAATGCAAGGGTTAGCGCGCTGCGCTACGAACCCGGTGACCCAAGGTCGATTCCTGCTCACGTCCAATACCAGTGATGATCATCTGAATCGGTCATGGGCCTCCCGTAGGTCGACTCGGCTTCAAATAAGTCCCAGGTGCATTGTGTAAACATCGCTGCTGGGGAGATAAAGGCGGCTGGGCGTGGTGTTGGCCACCCACCCCCTCGTGTGTCGTGCCGGCCTTCATACGTGCTCGTTAATAGTGCTTACCCCAACAATCTTTTAAGGCGATACAGGGGGTGTTTGTCCGCGTCAAACTTGCACGGCAAAGGTTTGAGGTGCGACTGACTGCCTCGCGTCCCTCGCCCACCCCGCACCAGTATACCGGCCACACAACACCATCACCCGAGAGGCTTCTCGAGTGATGCTTTAGTGTATATGTGCAAAAGGCCAAAAATAACCCCGTGGTAACTAAATTGATGTACGGAGAGGTTGCCCGTGATAGATTGAAACCGCGAACGATAAACCCGCGATATTCAAGGGCCTCTTGTATTAATAAAATGACGATGTATTTGCAAAACGATGTAAAAGGGGGAGAGTTAAATTGGAGTATTGCTGTACAGGACTTCCATGCTCCCATTTTTATGATCCCTGCTTTCACCCACCCTCACTGACCAGCACGGTGAAGTATGGTCGAAATGAAAGCGCCGCGTCGCCCTCATCCAGCAGTGGATTTGCAAATGAGCCGTACACGTCAACATTAATCTAAGTGCAAACTCTTACCTTACCATTGCCATAACTTTGCCTCTAACACTGACATAAAGTCGGACTGTGTTCCTCACTCCATAATCCATGAGGCCAGACCAGATATCTGTCTTGTCAGTACCACCTGAGGTGGTAGAACTTCAACAGTTTAAATTTCTTGATGTGGCCAAAAACAGTGAATCATGAGAACGATTTGAAGCGAGTGGGGTAATCAAGTCATTCATTCTTAATACGCTGTATAAATAAATGGGCATTACGAATGTTGTACTTCCTTAGGCGGGACCCATTTCTGCTCTGACCCATGGGCATAACTTCACCAACTCGCCATAACCCAAAGCCTCAGAACTAACGCCAGAGCAGACGCAAAGTGGCTCCGCGGATGGGACTTGTTCCCATCGCGAATCGAATGCCGCATTTATGAACGCGTTACCAAATGGGGTATCCATCTCCTTCACTTTGCATCACCGCGCCTGGGTTTTATTTCTTAACCAATTCAATTCACTGCCAATTTCCTTCAAGCCCTAGTAAGAGCCCAGTAAGAACACAGACGTCTTTACTGGGCCCTCTCGTGGGCTGTCTCGTCAACCGCCAGCCTGGGTCGAGTGAGAAATGCATCACACACAGCGTCGACGCGGCGCTTTCATTTCTCCACTTTAGCCGCCACTCTCAATGAGGACACTAATGAATTTAATTAACCCCAAGCCGCACCGCGTGCTTGTGCCAAAATAATAAAGTCTAAGACGTGTGGTAATTAGCTCTGCTGACAGCACGTTGGGGGGCATACATCTCATGCTGCCCCCCCCCCCCTTGCGTCTGTGTGGTCTAACATAGGAAGTGTGAGAAATTATCCTTGGGTGGGTAGGGCTGTAAATGTGTTCATCATCAGGTATGACCTATCCACTTCTGGATGAAGGTCTCCCCAAGCTGTCACCTCTCATTGTCTCGCGATGCAGCAGTCTATCTAGTTGCTAGACACTCCATCCCCATTGTGGTCATTCCATCTTTTGGCTTTGACTCTGTTTTCAATCTCGACCGCGGACCACGTTCCCTTCTAGCCATGACGTGGCCTGCCCAAGGCCGCTTCCTTTTCTTCATGGTCAACATGATGACTCTAGCTTGCGTTACGATTCCTCAATGTTTCCCTTTTGCAGTGCATCACGTGGTGCCTAATCGCGCAAGGGAGAACCTGCTAAGCTACACAGAGGTGCCCGGTGAAGGAACCCTGTGAGAGGAGTCCCGCGGGTTTCACTTTTTGAGCAGAATTGTTTTGTTACAATTACTTAATTTGACGACAGAGCGCGAAGTGGCAAGACGCTCGGCTGAGGTTTGTCCTGGTTCACGTTTCCTTCATTATCATGAGCCCAGGTGTAGATGGTGTCGGGGGGGGGGGGTTGTGAGGACCTGCACTGGCCGTGCAGTCGTGGCCGGTGGGGCGGGCGTGTAAGGATGCAGGCCGTCCCGAATCGATTGCCCATAGTCGGTGCTCCAGCGTTTATTGTAAAGCCACCCCGATCGGATTCCTTGTTACGCCACGCTTTTTGCAGAAGTTTACAGGTTGGAGCCCAGCTGCCACCCAGGTTAATATTGCAAGTGTGTATTGGCCATAAATGCTACTTTGTGTCATCTACTTCACAGTCATTTGAAAAAACAAAGTAGGCCATGTGTATCGGCGTCACAGTTACAATTGAGTAAATTACTCGCAAATTAACTACTGGCATACTCGTGCCCACCCGCAGACCAGCAGTGCATTCACTCGGTGCCACACAGGGGCAGCTGCCGCTGGGGGTACCCTTGGCTAGACTGCTGTGGCGTGAAGCGAGAGATACTGCACGGGCGGTGAATGCTCTCAACCTCTCCTTTTCTTGTCCACCTCTTCCCTGCTCTCTTCATGCCCAATCTCTCCTCCCGCTCCCCGTCTCGGCAGGCACCTACCAGGGCCAGTGGGCGGGCGGCATGCGGCACGGCTACGGCGTGCGCAACAGTGTGCCGTATGGGCTGGCCTCGGTGGTGCGTTCGCCGCTGCGCACCTCGCTCTCCTCCCTGCGCAGTGAGCAGACCAACGGCTCCATCGTGGGTCCGGTCGGCGGGGGAGCTGGCGGCTCTCTGCGCAGCGGGGATGATGCCGGCTCGGCCGTGGGCTCACGGGGTGGCTTTGTGCTCACCGGCGTCCACCACAGCGACAGCGAGCAGCAGGGGGGCAAGGCCGGTGGCAAGCGTGGTGGTGGAGGCCTCTTCCGACGTGGCTCACTGCTCGGCAGCCTCAAGTTCCGCCGGAGCGACTCGAAGGCCTCGCTGTCGAGCGAGCGGAGTAAGCGCAGCTCGTTCCGCAGCGAGGCCGGGATGAGCGCCATCAGCTCGGCTGCCAGCGACGGCACGTCGCTTGCCGTGAGCCTCGGCGAGCCTGAGACGGAGCTCTTCGACTCGGAGGTGGGTTCGACGCGAAAGGCGGATTGGTGCACGGACAGAGGGAAGGATGGACGGGACAGAAGGATGGTCGGACAATCGGACAGTCGGAGAACCGGAGGGACGGACAATCGGACGCACTAACGGATAGTCACAAGGATGGAGAGGCGGAGGAGAGACAGGACAGACGATTCCCGCCTGCAGTTGGGATTAGCTCTCCTACGTGCATTTAGGTCATATGCCGGCCTTGCGTTGCAGCGGTCACCAGTTCAATTTGATCTCACCTCTTGTCTGAGCAGTGTCAATGTGTGAGAAGTGTTGTGACCTCCAGTGTGGTGGATGGGTGAGTGGGTGAGTGGATGGGTGGGTGAGTGAGTGTGTTGTTCTGACCTGTATTATGTTGGCGGTTGAATGCAGAGTGGATGAGACGAAACAGTCAGTCTGGTAGACCAAATCCCCAACATATTTGGAGGAATCGTTGAGTGAGGTTCGCGGGAACAGTATACATTATAGTAGCAATAGGCGATTAAGTGAGTGAGTGACTGGACTCAATTAGTGAGTGCTGGATCATCAATCACCCTAACTGACTTTACACTGAATTATGTCAAGTGCAGCGAAGTAATAAACGGATGCTACACTCCAGATATGACATCAGGATTCTAACTTCGGACGAATCTATGCTGTGTACAGCAGCAGCAGTAATAATCGTTCAGAATTAACGAAGCTTTGGCATGGAAAAAAATAGCTTTTTCGATGCCTCCTTAACCAGATTTGTAACAAAGCCATTCCACGCCTGCTCACAAGAGACAGATGATGCTCGATGACCACACATGATGATGTCACGTGGGGACACGGTTGCCACCTGTCCAAGTTTGACTCGAATAGTAAGTAAGTACATTTATAGATGCCCGAAACAACGGCAGTGAGTTCCAGGCGGATGGATTGCTGAGTGTGAGTGGATGGGTGAATAGGTGAGTGAGTGGATAGGTGAGTTCCAGGCCGAGGAACCACTGTGTAGGTGAGTGGGTGGGTGAGTTCCATGCTGATGGACCGCTGTGTAGGAGAGTGAGTGGGTGAGTAAGTGAATGAGTGGGTAGGTGAATTCTAGGCTGACTGCGAAGCTGCGAGGTCCGAATCCCGCTGTCTGAGTGCATGGAGCATCTTCTATGTCTACTCAGCCTCAAATGAGTACCTGGTGCGATGTGCAAACATTGCCATTTGGGGACAGGAGGCCAAGCATAGTACTGGTCATACACCCTCTTTGCTGTGCCGGCCTTCATAGGTGCTTGCTAACAGCACTTTCCCCAACAGTCTGTTAAGGCTATACAGGGGAACTTTGACTTTGGATGAGTGAGTGGGGGTGGGTGTACTGGCACACAAATGGCCATCAGGTAGTGTTGAGCACATTGGTGTAGACACATGCTTATATGAATGTGCACAGCTTGTAATCAATATTTTAGTTAATTGGCAGCCATTGCAGGTCATTGCAAATGGTCGGTGTAATGTGATCATATTTTCCTTTCTGCACTGTCAGACACGTGGCTGAGTTCAGAAGAGACTGGAGCGGACATAGATGGATGGCGCTGGTGCAGCTGAAAACGCTATTACAATAGTCCACACGATTGGTGATGACTGCATGGACTAGCGTCTTAGCTGCATTAAGAGTCAATGAGCGGCATATTACAGTTCAGGAAAGTGGCATCTGTGTTTGGGGTGGCAAGAGTTGGTTTGTACTGAGATTTGGCGATGCAGTACACTGCACAGTTTTGACCCAGGCTGACTAAGAAACATGTCCCAGATAGTGTGCATAACTATGGGCTCTGTTGTCAGTGATTGACTATACTAAGCATAGGCGGTTAGGATATTGCGAATGCTCCTTGCTAGTTTTGTGCGCCGTGTGTGGGTGTGAGGTCACCGTGAGCCTAGAGGGCTCGTCACGTGGTCCAAAAATGCGTTCGTGTGAGAGGTGGCCAGCTAACTTTCGGCTTGGATCTCAGGACTGTGTTGCCTCGGTGCACGGCTGTGAGACAGATTTGAACTATAAGACGCCACGTAAATGGATCAGCATCATCATCAGCCACAATCAATCCACTCTTGAGTGAAGACCTCCTCAAACTGCCGCCATCTCTCATGGTCCAACGATGCGTTAATCCATCTAGCGCATACGTACGAGCCAATTTAATTGCTCCATCTCCGTGGCGGTCATGTTCCGTGGGACGTGTTGAAGTAACAAACACGCGGATGGTTCGATGCGGGTTGCATTTATTGTGCTTCGTCTCCGAGGCTCGAGTGCCGATCACGCAGCAGCAGCGGCGGCGGCAACGCGCCCATCGTGCCAGGACAGTGATTCCCACATGCCAGTACTTGTGGACCATCGTAGTGACCCCCAGAGTCTGAGCAGCTCACGTAACCACGGTGATGTGTGGTACCATACACACTCCATGTGCGGTCATCCCCCGCTGGTAGTGTTGCTGCCAGTAATGATGATGTTGGTGACAGTAACGAGAACACAAGTGGTGACGGTGATGACAGAGTTTCCGCCGACAATAATTTTGATGACGTTACACCACCATGTGGGCGGCCAGGCAGCAGTGCAGTGGTGACACCCATGCTTCACTGAAAGAAAGGCCTGGGTTACATTCCTGACTCGGGTGCCTTGATGTGGGTGCCACGGTGGCGAGATGTTTAACTACCTCACCTGGTATACAGGAGCTCGTAGGTTGCGTCGACTTTTCTCCAGGTCCTCCGCTTTTCCCTCCACATTTAGAATGAACATGCACTTAGAGTATTTGGCTGCTATAAATTTGCACACGATAAGTCACTTCATTGGGCTATCATTTGTGGCCAAGTTGCTTCTGTAAAAGAGCTACATAGGTCAGTGGACCTGGTAAAATAAAAAAGAAATAGTTTAGTTTGAAGTGTGGATTTTATATGTTCTCCTCTCCCAGGTATCTATGGGTTTCCATCAGGGTCCTCCAGTTTCCTGCTGTAACTGAAAACCATACAGTGTAACTGGTATTGGCCAAACATCCCAATCATGCAGAAGAAAAATTAAGGAAAAATTTTTTGAAAACAAATTTGCTTTACCCTTTGCTTTACCCTATGTCTCAATATTGAAAATCACTCAATTTGGATTACCCAACCCGACTGAGAAAACTTGGCAGGACCATCCTGAAAACGAGTCCTGAGACTTGGTGAAACTTTCCCTGGTAAACACAGATCAATAAAATAACAATAATTAATGCTAATAATGGTGATGATGACCACACATCACCAATCTTCCGTTTTGTCTGCGGGCGCCGGCAGGTGGAGGCCAACACCACGGAGACGTACACGGGCGAGTGGAAGGGCGACAAGCGCAGCGGCTTCGGCGTGAGCCAGAGGTCGGACGGCCTGCGCTACGAGGGCGAGTGGCTCGCCAACCGCCGCAACGGCTACGGCCGCACCAGCTACCCGGACGGCCGCTCCGAGGAGGGCAAGTACCGGCAGGGCACGTTGACGCGGGGCAAGCGGCGCAGCCTTGTGCCGCTCAGGGCCAGCAAGACGCGGGCCAAGGTGGAGCGCGCCGTCGAGGCGGCGCAGCGGGGCGCCACCGTCGCCAAACAGAAGGCCGAGATCGCCATCTCCAGGTGCGTGCACCAGCCCGATCGGTCGGGTTTTCTAACGTCCGTATGTCACGCAAGGTCGGTCCAATTTGAAGCAGAAACTTCCGCGAGTAGTTGTGTCGCCGCTGGGTTGGACCGGGGTGAGCAGCTAACCCCCGAGAGGGCCGCCGAGCCCCTGGGTTCTAATGTCTATCCGTAACCGGGGAGCCTCCCGTGGAGGTGGATCCATTACAGGCGACGAGGCCCCTACGATATCAATTCCCCCTAAACCCGCTCTTTGTTTTCCCCGGAGGAAGCTTCTCTCATTATCCCTGGGTGATTGTGTTGTACGGCCACAGTAGTCGTGGCTGTCGAGTGTGCAGGCGGTGCAACTGCACCTGGATGGGCTTAGAGGCTAGGCTACGAAGCTGGGTGGTGGTGGAAAATGGATGGGGGGGAGGACCCGTGGTTCTCTATGCAGTCACTGCTCGCTTAACATCGGCCCCCTTTTATCGTTGTTTCGCTGGGACGTCACCGATGAATTGCATCCCTATTTATTCATTTGATGTCGCGTAGTATCGCTCTCACGTCACTGCCGGTGGGCAACGCCCCTTATCGGCCCAGCGTATCCCTATTGGGCCATACTGTAGGAAAGTCCTTACTTTCACCGCCTGCGCGGGTGAGCGGTGTGATACAGTCCACGGCGGCGTACACTCATCTCAGTTCATTGTGGTGACGTCATCGTTTCTTGGTAGTGAACGGCAATTGTTGTTTATTGTTGTGCGTGAGAGTGACTGGGGAAAGGTGGTGCAGTGGTCAGTGCACTGCGCGATGAACCCAGCAGAAACCCGAGTTTGATTCCTGCTCACAGCCACCACTACCAACACCAGTTTCAGCGATTATCTGAACCAGGTCCTGGGCCTCCTCTGGGTCGACTCAGCCCCAAATGAGTACCTGTTGCAGTGTGTACACATCAGCACTTAGGAGACAAAGGCAGCCGGGCATGCGTGGTGCTGGCCACCTACACCCCCTTGCATGCCGTGCCGTTCTTCATAGGTGTTACTCGCTAACAGCACTTGCCCCTAGTCTATTAAAGGCTACAGGGTGATCGTTTTCTTTGGTGCAGTGGTTAGCGCACTGCGCTACGAGCCCGGCCGACCTGAGATTAATTCTCAAAAAATTCAGCTCAACACATTCGTCAATGATAAGCACTGTGTGTGGCCTGAAAAGAAAACTAAATAATCAATGACTTTTCAAGCAATAGCCATTCATAGCGCATACTGGTGAGTGTTAACCTAAACTAAACTTTTCTCTCCTTATAGCTACTGTTAATCGCCAGTGTTATTCATTTTTTCTTTTAAATATGTACGTTAAGAAAGTTTTTTATGTTCCCAAGTGTAATTGGAAATGTTCCAGGAACACAACCTCCCCTATTTACATTGCTTCTTATGGTTAAATCGGTTTCACTTCACGTCGCTTTACTTAAAGTCACATTTTCCAGGAACGTAACCCCAACGTTCAACGATGAGTGACTGTATGAGGCTCTATGCGTCTTTCTGTGAGTTTTGTCGGTCTGTCTGCGAGTCTGATGCCCTGCGTAAGTCTCTGGGTCTGTATATGAGTCTACGACTCCCTGTACGAGTCTGGATGTCGCCCTGCATCTACCCTGGCACTCGATGGCAAAGCCCCTCTCGTGTTGCCACCGTTGCTCTGCGCGTCGTTGGTCGCGGCGTCCATTCTCGCTGCACTGAGGCAGCGCTGCAATGATTTCTCATTGTCAAACCCAAGAAACCTGAGACGTCCATTTAATTGCCTTTTAAATATCCCTAAGAACAAGAATTGGAATAGGTAACAAAGCCTTTGACGCTGCAGCACCACCAACGTTTTGTAACAACCTTGTCTACCTCCCTTAACATCGTAAATCATCCTTAAAAAATATCCTGAAGCAGAATTAGTGCTGGATACAAACACATTTGCCAATGTGAATTGTAAGTTTAATCCGTACCCATGTATTGAAAGTTCAATTTTGATGTGCAATTTAATTGAGGGACTACTGCGTGATGTCTTAGTGTGGTCTGGGACTGTTGTTTTTGTTGTTGTTTTACCTTGTCCAAGCTTGCATTTAGTGTTGATAAATCGGCAGATATGTATGTGCTTAGGCTCTTTTTACTTATATCCTTATTATTTGATTACATTTTTTTATTTAAAGCTTTCGTGACTGCAGTAATTCACCGTCCCATCAACGACGCTGGCAACAACACAAGCACAACCTCAACCCCCTTCCTCCCTACCCCCACCTCACCCCGCTCTCTGTCTGCGTTTATTGTTGTAACTTGCTAGACCCACCCCTACTGGACATCTGTGAAAAAGAGCTTCATAGCTCATCGGATTCCTCTTTCAGTCTGCCAGTTCACACATGCACGCCACCAGTGTTATGATCGCCAGGAGGCTCGAGAAATGGCACGCGCGTCCATGCATAAATAAATGAATGAGTACAATTAATGCGCCCAGTAAGCATGCCAACGTTGGCATGTGGTCGGAACCATCGGAGCAACGTTGACCCAGCGTTGGCCACCTCTCTCCCGCGATGCGTGTCCTACTATACTGCGGTGCATCGCAGAGAATATCGCCGGCAAAAAGATGTATTACAGAAAATTGGATCTTGATTGAAAAATAAGAAATGAATAATGAAAAGCGAGAATTGTATGACTACAGTGTTACACGTGCAGATCTGTACAGGCGTGAAAGCTGAATAATTGCACAGACCCTGCAGTGAACTAGAAGAAACATTAATGTGTTTTTTTATATAGAAAGATGTTCAAAAACATTTAATGGACAGACAAGATTAATAACATACGGGTATTACAGATTGCAGGGTTCACAAGAAGAACATTCTCGAGAACTATTAGAGAAAGGTAATGTTGGGTTTCCTGGACGTGTAACGAGAAAAAAGATAATTAATATGAATGTGTTTTTGACTGGGAACGTTCTATGTACGAGAAGCAGTGGAAGATAGAGAATTCAGTTGCATGAGAGAATTTAAACAACAGGATGCAACTGGGAGGAGTGTAATTAGGGTTGTTGAGTAACTTTTTAGACAGAGCTAAATGAAAGGCCATGATCGCTGACGTATTTTAGAAAGGGCATGGCACATAGAGAAAAAAGAGGTGTGCTGGGCACATCTATATTTGTCTTGTGATCTGTCCAGCAGTGGAGATGGATATTCTGGACGGGGTCAGGTGGCTTCAGGCTTTGCTTCTCCATGCTCGGAGGGACAGTCCGTTGAGATGGTGGTGGTGCTGGTGGTGGTGACTGCGGTTATCTTGGTGGATGTCGTGAGGAGTGGTGGCACAGTGGTTAGCACATCCTGCTACGAACCCGGCGACGTGAGTTCGATTCCCGCTCATGGCGAACACCAGTGACGATTATCTGATCCTGTCCTGGGCCTCCTGAAGGTTGACCCAACTGTAAATAAGTACCCGGTCAATGTGTAAACATCGTCACTAGGGAAACAAAGGCGGCCGGGCGTGGTGTTGGCCACTCACCCCCTCGTGTGCCGTGCCGTCCTTCATAGGTGCTTGCTAACAGCACTTGCCCCAACATTCTGCTAAGTGTGTATGTACGTTGAATGCCTTTCGCACCGTACATAGCCCACCGTGCTATTTGAAGGGATCTTTCTCTTTGTTTGATGGTTATGGTGGTGATGGAGGAGGTAGTGGTTGTGCTGGTGGTGGCGGTGGCGGTGTGAGTGGAGAGTGTAGCGGTTAGCGTGCTGCGCTACGAACCTGGCTACCCGGGTTCGATTCCCGCTCACGGCCAACACCAGTAACGATTATCTGAACCGGTCCTGGGCCTCCCCTAGGTCGACTCAGCCTCAAATGAGTACCTGGTGCGGTGGGAAGACAAAGGCGGCTGGGTGTGGTGCTGGCCACACTGCCCCTTCGTGTGCCATGCCAACTGTAATAGCACTTGCCCCAAAAGCCTGTGTGGACTATACAGGGGGGTTTTGTCTCTTTCTCTGTGCCTTTGTGTGCCGTACCATGCGATGATGTGATTTGCTTGGAAGTGCTTCATGCACGGCTTTAGTAGCGCAACCATATCTGAGAAATGTAGAGGAGCACTTCATTAGTTGTCTTCTGGAAGAGACATTTACTCACAATGTGATGCTGTGGTGATTTGGTACGTGTGCTTATATATTTGTGTGTATGTCTCTGCTTGTGCCTTTTGGGTCTATGTGAAGCAGTCATCTGGTTAGCCTACTGCGCTACGAACCCTGCGACCTGGGTTTAATTCAACAGTGGTGAGTGATATCAGAACCAGGGGGTGCGGATTGATTAATTTAGACAAGAAAGTGTGGCCTCCATCCAGCAGTGGATTGATAATAGCTTATGATAAATAATGATGACGATGATGGAGTAGGAGCATTGCTCGACCTAAGAGAACTGCAGTTCTGCCAATGCCCATTTGGATATAGGGAAATGTGGCATTGTCCAGCACAGTGTAATATGGTGTGACACGGCGTGACGTGGCACGGTGTGGGTGTGAAATGATGTGTCGTGGTGTCATGCAGTGTGGTGCGATGTGATGCGGTGTGATGCAGTGCAGTGGGGCGTGGTGTGATTGGGTGTGGTGTGGTGCAGCGTGGTGTGACAGAGTGGGACACGGTGTTGGTGCGGTATGATGTGGCGGAGTGTCATGCATTGGGGTGCGATGTGACGCGGTGTGTCGCAGCACACTGGGACGTAGTGCAATGTGTTTTGGTGCGGCGCGGCGCATATCCACCCCGGATAAAAAAAAAGGCACGGTGCGTCTCCGCGATATTGGCCGGCTTAGGTGCCGATAAATAGTCGGCAGTGCTGGCTCAGGCTGATCCGTGTAATCTGTGGCCCCAACAGAGGATGCGGGGTGGGGTGGCTGTCGAAATGAGCATCCCTGAGCTCTCTGCCAGGGATGATGATGATGATGATGATAACCACGTCTGGGACTGAGTCACTGATCCCCCTACCAATTGTGTCTTGAGTCCGAGATCACTGGACCATAGGTTC